TGGGTGAGAGCTATTTATTACATTCTCGATATTTGGTGATCAGGCCCTGTCGGACTCAATCAGTTTCCTGCAGTTGTGGCAGCAATATTATAGTTGTGGCAGCAATATTTTCGTTTTGTTGTAGGTTTTCTTGTACTTTCTGGGGCATTAAAATAAATCAATATTCTTTCCTCACTTGCTGTGTGACAAGGTATAAAATGAGGTATATATAGAAAAATATTCAGGTTTCTTCATATTATTCTTAAAAATCGAATGAGCAATTTTACATTATCCACAGATGTAGAGATTCAAAACCTGTGATACAACAGTGTAAAACTGATCATTCCTATTGCAGTCTCACTGAATAACCTACAAGAGATCTTTTACATAGTAATACTGAGTTTATCAGAATACCTGAGTTCAAGAGAACGAAATAGAGTTTGTTTTGAATTTCGCGCAAAGCTACACGAGGGCTATCTGCGCTAGCCGTCCCTAATTTAGCAGTGTAAGACCAGAGGGAAGGCAGCTAGTCATCACCACCCACCGCCAACTCTTGGGCTACACTTTTACCAACGAATAGTGGGATTGACCGTCACTTATAACGCCCCTACGGCAGAAAGGGCGTGCATGTTTGGTGGGACTGGGATTCGAACCCGCGACCTGCAGATTGCTATGCCGGGCCACCAAAATATAAACATATTCTGGATTTACCCAAAGAAGACTTATCATTATTCACCTGCTAGTATTTATCATCCAAAGATATCAGAGGTTGTTAAACTCTAGGTACCACCTATCCTTCCCCAAGGGGTTCGGCGGTAAGTCTTAAAGTTAATATTACTAATGGTCGGGTTTCGATATCTGTGGTGGGCACAACATAGATAGCCCATTCAGTAGTTTTGTGCTAAGTAAACAAATGAAACGACCTAACCTTGAATATGTGTTATACCCAGAGAATTAGAAAAAGTGGCTAGAAAGAAATCTATTTAACGATTTCCTTGACCATGTGTTATGTGAATACTTTACATACAACAATAACTAAACTAATTCACAATAAAAATATTATATTAAAATATAGAGGTAGAAAATGTTTTGTATGTTTATATACCACAAGATTCAAGGTTCAATACGTATTTAACATGTAAACGTATGGAGAGTTCTTTATCCATACAAATTCAATAACGCCAACTTGCGAACATCATTATTGCGTACTACTGTTAAGTTATTTACCTCATCCGCACTTGACAGCTTAACATTTTGTTGTCTAAGAAGAGTTTCGATGGACATGACCTCACATATAAAACCAGGGGGTAAGACGCAAAACGTCATTACATAGAACTAACAATCATTTTCTCAAGTCTGCCTACTTATACATTATTTGCCTGTCAATTGACCTCTGAACCATACAACATAGTTCACCTTTTTTTAATTTATTTCTAACGATAATTAATAATCAATGATAAATATTAATTTATCAAAGAGAACACTATTAACGTCAGTGTCAATTATTGTAGTAATTCATAATAAAACGTTCTGAACCCATAACGATATAAGTAAAGGAAAGAGTGAAAACAGACTGCATGTGACTGCTTATCCTTTTGTTGGAATTGTTCTGTTTCTATACATGAAGCACACGAACATCTGCGTGCTACATCTGGCACAACGAGAAACATTATGAAAATGTCTGTGAGGTATTGTTATCTTAAGGAAATAAAGGGAAAATAAACAAACACAGTGACTCATGGAACGTGTTAGGCTTTAAAGTACTGATTAAAGACTTGATAACTGAATTTAAATAAGGATTATATACTTCTACACAAGGAAGAAACGCTTATCAATCTTTGTATATATGATAAGCTTTAGAACGCGCCTGAAAAATTAAAACGTTACAGAAAATGTAAAGTATTATCGAAACCATTTTATTATGAAGCACGTGGGAATAGCAGTTGTTATTCATACGTGGGGTCGAGAACAGCGTATTTATAAAATAATCAGTCATATATTAGAAGCAACCCATATTAAATATTTTGTTACATTAAAATAATATTTCACCTCACAAACTTTCATCGATACCCCTTGTGGCTCAGCGGTAAATCCGAGGGCTTATAACGCTAAAACCCGAGGTTCGACAGTTGTGGTATGCCTATCACAGTCCATT